ACTGAAAATAAACTGCCACACTGGTCTCTACTGAAATGTGACTGATTAGATTTGTCTTGGGACATCCCGATCTTCTTGTTGTTAAGTGCCTTTGAGTCGGTTCTGACTCATAGCAACCCTATGGGCTAATGCGCTGGGCTGCAAAGTTTATTTGAACCACAAAATTGGCAGTTCAAGCTTACCAGCTGCTCCTTGGAAACTCTATATAGGGTCACTATAGGTCAGAACCAACTTGATGGCACTTAACAGCAACAACAACTCAGGGTTTCTGAGATTGTAAGTCTTCACAGGAGTAGAAACCCTCATCTTTCTTCTGTGGAGTAGCTAGTGGAGAGGCCGGCACTATAAATGAGGTATCCACCCCAGGGAAAGGTCCTTGTCAGTAGCTATGAGTATGAGTTTCTTGACTACTTGTAAATATATTATGACATAGTGTCTGTCTGTATCTATTCTGTTGTTTTTTTTTTTATAAAATACCACTCAGAAAGGATTAGGTTTAGGACTCACCCTATTCCAGTATGACTTCATTAAGACAACAGAAGAAAACTCCAGTTTCCAAACACATCATAATCACAGGCATGAGAGTTAGGGCTTTCACATAAATTTTTGGAGGACACAATTCAACCTATAACAAGATTAATATTTTACTCTGGACATTTTGGGCAATAGCATGGGGCTTGAGACTCCATGCTACTGGTCCTATCAGTACTTTAATCTGCCATTAAAACACAATTTTGAGATCTATTAGATGTCCCCAAGTATGCTGTGGGATAACATGGACATTCTGTCAGTGTTACTAGTCCCATTACTAGTCCCATTTTGCTCTGAATGGCTCCTTGTAGCTCTAGTAGTATATTTGAAAAATGGGATTATTGAAGTAAAATTTGTAATTTCTTAGTCAAATACTTAGCTCTTGAGAATCTCCCCCAAATGTATTTCGCCCAAATGGAGTTGAAATAAGGGAATTCATGTCACTCTTACAGTGCAGTTCGCCCCAGATACCTCATCCCAGTACCAAATGACCTTTGCTTTTTCTTGTAGGGTAGATATTTCCTCTGTATCCCATATTGCCACCATTTAAACTGTGTTTAAACATACAGTTCAAATAGACAATTAAACTCCAAGTTTGAAAGTTTTTTTTTTTTTAAACAACCCGTTTAAAGGCATTTTTTTTTTTAATTTTGTGAATTAGGTGAAGGTTTACGAAGTAGATCAACAGTTTTACATTCAATAAATCATACACATTACTAATTCAGAATGAATTAAAAAACTTAACTAAACCAGTGGACATGAGCTGATTCTGACCCAAGGTGTGACATCATTCATGCAGTTTTTTAGGCTGTTGAGTTTTTGGATGCAGATAAAGGACTCTTTATTGGAAGTCACTTCTGGGTGAGTTTAAACCACCAACCTTTCTGTTAGTTGAGTGCACCCAGAATGAAACTATAAGATGTAAAGCTATAAGATGTCTAGGAAACAATGAAGGAGAAAATCTATGTGAACTTGGGCTTGATGATGAGGTCTTAGAAACAACACCAAGAGTGTGACAAAGGAAAAAATTGACAAACTGGACTTTATTAATATTAAAAGCTTCTTCACTATAAGACACTGTTAAAGTAATGACAAGATAATGCATACCCAGAGAAGCAGTGATGCCTGAGATGGAGGCAGAGACGATGACATGGAGAGATGGAGCAGCTGGGGACTTTAGACACAGAGAGGGAGAGGGGTTGTGTGCTGATGACCTGGGGGGGTGGGGGGCAGGCTTGTAGTGTATACCCTTTGATTGGTTGATAATGCATGGAGGGGATTGTAACCATGCCAATGAAATGATATACAATAGGATGAATGTAAAACTAATGTTCT